CAAAAGTGAAACAAAGTGATAAATATTGGTGTAATTCAATAATAAATAAATAATACATTATTTATAATAAATATATAATATGAGTCTAAATATTTATTTAATTCATTATAACATAAAAACGAATATAATCATAGCCTGTAATATAATTATAATATAATCATATAATATAATTAATAATATAATATCTCTAATAGGGTTGGCCTTTGCCCAGTATTTTCATTGCTTTCCAACCATCCAATCACCTGCTGGGAAGTTTACAGTAGATCAAGTGAACTGCATAAATTATTTTGAACCTAACGACCTAAGTTTCCATATTAATACTCAAAACAAATATTTTAAATGGTTAAAACGTCGAGTTAAAATAATAGACAACATAACTACACACTATAAAATCAAACAGGCAATACGCAAGGTAAAATGAAAAACCTGTGCATATGCCAGGTTTCGGTGTAGGGGAGGAGTTTATATAAACAGCTCAGCTCAACTCAGCTCAGTTAGAGACCGATGGAAGGAAGAGACGCACTAAACTCTACATGGAGAATCACTTTAATGATCAAAGCATGGAATGTTCCGCCAGTTCAGACAGCAACGACTGCCAGAGGTATGAACCTGACTTTATATTACTATGATGAAGTGATGTTACTTATAAAATACAAATCGCTATATTATGGAAAGTGGAACGGTCGCCACGAGATGGTCCAAAACACCTGTGCGTCAGGTGATGCCTGCGTCAGTGTCAATATGAACACTTAAACAAATAAAATACATTTTTTTTGTGGTCTACATACAGAAACGTTTTTTCATTTATTTTGGAGTTGTCCTTACTCAGTCAATTTTTGGTCAAATTTCTGCTCATTTGTTAGAGATCATATCATGCCCAGCTTTCAACTTTGTTTTGAAAATGTTTTATTTGGTTTTTTCACTTACGACTTGTCATTCCATAAGGAATATTATTTGATTAATTTATTACTTTTGCTGGCAAAATTTAGTATACATAAATGCAAGTACGGCAATTATAAACCATTGTTTCTCATTTTGAAATCAGAAGTTAAACAATACCTAAAATCAATTTAAATTTGATAAACAAGAAAGCTGTTAAGTGTATTAATGTATGTAAACATTTCCATGTTTTTATGTAATTTATTTTTAATTTTTTATTTTCTCTTTATTTCACTGTAATTTTTGTAAACAAAATAATAATGAACTCGTTTTATTTTAGCTTCATATTGTTATGGTTGTTATGGTAAAGTTTCTGTTATTATTCTTTAACAGTATTCCCACAAGTCTTTAAAACAAGTCTTTAAATTCTTTAAATGTGTAGACCAATATGGATTTGAGAGAGCGGAAGATTTCAACTATGAATCCTATGAGGACTTTATGTCCAAGCATTTAGCTGTTGTCACTAGAAGGTCAAAGAAGTGGTCGAAACTTTTGCAGGGCACTGTAAATGTTGCGA